GTCCCCCCGTGTCCAGGAGGGCTGTGAACCTGGATGAGGCTGGCACAGCTGGATCCTGTCATGCTGGGATTGCCTCCAAGCCTAGGAGAGCCTTGCCAACCCAGTCCCCTCCAGCCACCCCCTCACGTGTCCCAAATCCAGCTCTCCAGCAGCTCGGGTACACAGGGACAGGTAAAGGCCTTCTCAGCCCAACAGCGTGCCCCCACAGCTGGAAGGAGGGTCTGGGGGCACATTTCCTTAGCACATCCAGCAGCCCCACAGCCACAGAGATGGGCTGAGCTCCTCAGGCCTCTCTGCACCTCGTTAGGAAAATGAGCCCTGCTGCAACATCCCATCCCCAGGCTGGTCCCCAGATGGGCCAGGCTCACCCCAAGAAGCACCCAGATGAGCCAGAGTGACTCTCTGGGATCAGCAAGGGACCCAGTGCTGGATTGAAATACAGCTCAGAGAGGTCACTGAGGGTGCTTTGGCCCCGCTCAGTATTTTGGGGACGGCTGGTTGAGCGGTTGCATCTGGCACAGCCCTGGAGAGAGGTGCCAGGTCATGTCAGAGTGAGAGGAGAGAAGAGGTGACCTCTGTGCCTGGCTGCTCAGGGATCAGGAGGGCCAGCCCACGGCCACTGGCAGGGCCACTCCAGCCCTTGGCCAGCTGCCCTTGGCCAGTGGCACAGCACAGCACATCCCTTCACAGCCGCTGCACGCAGAGCCCACCCCGTGCTGCACCAACATCGGGGTATTTTTAGCCTGGAAAAGTGCCACAAAATCATAGAGCAACATTAGCTGGAGTTGGGACCGATGTCTCCGTTCACCTTGCAATCCCCTCTGGGTCACCCTGCCCAGCTTGGGTCCTCCTGGCACTGCTGCAGAAGCACTGAGCACCCACTGGGCTCCCCAATGCCACCTGTCCCCTCCTCCCACGCCATGGTGGCACCTTCCCCCAAGATCTGCCCCAAATTCCCCCAGCAACCCATGAAATTCCAGAGCCACTGAAGGGTACATCCTGCCCTGTCCCTCTGGTGGCTACACCCAACCCAGTGCCCATTTCCCCTGCTGAGATGTGGGGGGGGTTTGGGCTCTCTGCCCATGCTCTGCTGCCAGTGGGGCCTCAGTCCCCCCACCAAAGCACCACCACAGTTATTCATCCCTTAGTCACGCATTTATTGCTATGAGATGATTTCTGCTCCTGCTGGGAAAGGAAAGCACCCACAGTCTATTATACAGCTTCTCCAGGGAAAGATGGGGACCAGCATGACACTGGAAAACCAGAGGAAAGTGATATTGCACGAGAGCACAGCACCCACACTGCGCTCACACCACAGGGAGCCGCGGGCTGAGGGCAATGCACAGCCACCCATGAGAGTGTGTTCTGTCCAGCATTCATTTCACACCCCATTAAACACCTCAAGATGTTTGCTTTGGGGGACTCCGTCACCATGTCCACCCCAGGGCTGAGGGCCTGTCCTGAATGCAGGCATGTGGGGTTTTCCTATTTGTTTTGCTGTTTCCCTTTAGAAACAGTTATGAGACTGTGTCTGCTTTCCCTTCCTTTCACTGGTCAGGGGATTAAAAAAGGAAAGGACAGATGACATAGCCCTAAACTGAAGGCACAGAGGCCTTGAATCTTTCACAAGGAGCGCTTTGGTCCCCAGGGCTCATTAAGCATTTAAGCAATTGGTCCAGAGAAGAAGCACACAGCAGCACTTGCACGCTGGCTGGCTGGCAGAGCCCTCTGCACTCAGCAGCTCTGTTTCACACCTTGGTTTCTGCAAAAGAAAATCCCAGTCCTGGGGCAAAAGAGACAGGAGGATGTCCAAAGGTGACTGGGTTGGCTGGGAGCCTTGGGAGAGGGGAAGGAAAGCAGGAGAAAATTAGGAGACAGGATGGAGGTGCCTGCTGTGTGGTGCTCTCCAATTACAATAAGTAGAATCTCCCAGAGCATCTGCCTCTGCGCCTGATGAATTGCAGAGTTGTTGTGTTGTCCTGTCCTGTCCTGTCCTGTCCTATCCTGTGCCAGCCCTTCACTGGGTCTGGGGCTGAAAGCTGCAGAACAAGTGATGCCCCCAAAATGGGAGCTGCCTCCAAGCTGCTATCAAACTCTCCCCAGAGCCCCCTGCCCTCCAAGCCCGCTGGAGGGGAGCTGGAACAGGTCACTTAAAACCCACCACAAACCTGTGCCCACCTGAACCTTCTGTCCCTCCTGATGCATCAGCTTTTCCTGGCTCCAGAGCAAAGGCAAATCCCTGTGCTCACTCCAAAGGACAGGCCAAGGAGCAGCGTGGGCAGCAGTGTCCTGGCCCCTGGTGTGATGCTGCTGCTGGGGGAGCCCAGGAAGGAGCAAAGTGTGCTCCTTTGCCCTCTGTCCTCTCTCTCACTTACCCCTCAACACAAGTGGCACAAAATAGATCTTATAGGTAGCTGTTCATCCCAAAATTGAGCTTAAGCACCTCAACCTTTTCACTGGAAAAAACCTCAAACCTCAGAGGAGTTGAATCACTCAACCCTTTGTCTGCAAATGCACTACAGGGTTTAATTTATCAGGCAGGATTAAATATATAGATGTGGCAGTGCAGGTCTGAGCAGCAGAGAGGGGTTGGGACACAGGCAGTGTGGATTGGCACAGCCCTTCTCCAGGCTCTGGAGCAAGGCAGATTTGAGGCAGGTAAGTATCTGGCCCCAGGGAAACAGTTTGATGTGGGCAGTGGAGAGAATGGGGAAAAAAGGTATCACGCTTGTCTCCCTGTCTCAGCAACCCCAGTCTCTGTTGCCTGCATCTGCCCCATTAGCAGAGCCTGGCACTGTGACAGGGACAGCACCGGGGCAGGGACACAGGGAAGTCCAGGTCTGGGGTCTGCACCAGGCTGGCAGCTGCTGCCCACACCCTGAGTCAGGGCATGGTCCTTGTCCCATGTCCCTTGCCTGGTCTTGCTGCCTCTGGGGAAGAACAGCCACAGGACAACCTGGTGGTGGATGCGTGTCTCCAGGAGCCCAGCACTGGCAGCTGCCTGCTGCAGGCATCTCTGCTGCTTACAGAAGACTCACCTCATGCTCTGATTTGAGGAACATGGGAAGAAACCTATTCTTGTCACTCCCAAAAATCCCCTGTCCAGGATGAGGCGCAGTGCCTGGGATCCCCTGGGCACAGCTGGGCTCTGCTTTTGCAGCTCCTGCTCCATCCCCCCAACCCAGCCAGCAACAAATCAGCACTGCCTTCGCCCGCCTGATGGGATCCTCGCTGCCTTCATTTTCTTAAAGCTTATTTTCAGCACTGCTTCACTCCTCTCAGTGCAAGCTGCCTGCAAAGCTGCAAGGTGGGCAGGAGGGCTATGGCTGCACCTTTTCCCACAGTCCTATGCATCAGGGAACCACACTGGCTTCACCAGCTTCTCCAAGGGTGTTGTTGTCTCTGCCCCAGGGCTCTGCTGACTGCAGTATGCGTGGCTTGTGGCTGGTTATCTTGAGAGCCCATGCTCATGCTCACCTGCCCCACTGGCTCCACAGCCACTCTGAGCACTCCCAGGCCCCTTGGCTGATGCAGGCACACCGTGCCAGTGCCTCAGTTTCCCCAGAGAGCAGAGAGAATGCACTGACTCCCCTCCTCCCGACAGTGTCAGGTCCATTTAGCTCGGGCAGTCTGTGGGAGAGGAGCTGTCACAGAGTGCGTGCTTGCTCTGCGCCCCGGGGCTCCAGATTGTTCCTTGCGCCTCCCAGCACCGTGGTCCCGTAAACATTAATATCAACAGTAATCAGAGGAGACTTCTCCCAGCTCCTGGTGCTGGGAGAGCCAGGGAGTGGAGATGAGGGCTCCTGCACGCTGCCTTGCAGCCAAATGCCTGCTGCCCACAAGGCACCCCAAGCTCAGCCTCGCACAGCCAACCCTCACTCCTGTTGCCTCCCTACAGCAAATCCATCGGGGAGCTCTCAAAATCCTGTGCAGCTCCTCACTTGCCATGGGGAGAGCAGGCACAGGGGCACAATGCTCTCCTCCTCCTCCACTGAGATCCTCCTCTGTGGACCCCTGCAGCAGCAGTTGTACAGCAGCTCCGAGCCATTATCAAGCTGCAATTAATATAAATAAACAAGATGAGCCAGCCACAGTAGAGTGAACAGAAACCTGACTGACATATCCTCCGGGAATCATTCATTCTGCACTTTTATCTTTTTTTTCCTTGCAAATTAATCACAGATTGCCTAGGACCAAAGGCTTGGTTGGGTGACCCCAGGGGACAGGGCAAAGGCAGCCGAGCAGCCCGAGTCCCAGCCCTGCCTCTGCCGCCCGGGTTAACAAGCAGCTCCCCTCTCTCTGCCTCGGTTTTCCTCTCCCTGGCAGCCGCTGCAGCTCCCGCACCACGCCGACATGATTGTCCATCTTATGTTCTGCCTCTGCCGAGGGACACGACTGTACATGTGCTGAGCCCTTGGGAAAAGCAAGCGCGGGGTCCCAGCGGGAGGGCTGAGCCCCCCGGGCTCTGGGGCCCCTGCCTGCCCACGGGCCGGCCCTGAGCTGCGGCTCCGAGGCCAGGTGAAAGGATTTAGGAGCCCGGCTTTTCCCAGCCGCTCCCTTCCATCCGACGGGCAGTACCTCTGGGACATCCCTCAGCCCCTGCACAGCCCTCGATCCCAGCACATCCCTCAGCGCGGCACGTCCGCCGATCCCAGTGCGCTTCTCGTCCTCGGAGCGTCCCTCGCACAGCCATTAGCCCTGCCACATCCCCAAACCCCACCGCATCCCTCGACCCCAGCACACCCGCACATCCCCCAGCCCCGACACCGGTGCGCCCCTTCCCAAATCCCAAAGGGATCCCTCCCGCCCCGCCCGAGGAGCCCCCACGGAGTTCCCGGAGAGCCTGGGCAGGGCGGCCGCGGCCCCGAGGGGACGGGGAGGAGGCGGGCACGGGGCCGGGAGCCCCCCACCGCCGCTCCCGCCTCCTCCCGCCGCGGCGGGCGAGGCTCCGCCCGGCTCCCGGGGCCCGCAGCCGCCCGGCGCCCACCCCGCGGCGGGCGCCCGGACTATGAGGAGCGGGACCGGGCGGGGGGCGGCGGCAGCGGCGGCGGCGGCCCCGGTGCGGCGGGAGCGGGAGCGGGGACGGCTCCGCCGCCGGCCGGGTCATGCCCGTGCGCCCGGGGCGGCGGGGCTGCGGGCTGCGGCGGGATGGGCGCGCTCCGGGCCGGTGCCCTCGCCTTCCTCCTCCTCCTCCTTCTCGGCTGCCTCCTGCCCCGGCGCGGCCCGCTCAGGTGAGCGCACGGCGCGGGTGCTCGGGTGCTGGCGGGGCTGCGGGGACCGGGGCTCTCCGTGCCGCTCCCTCGGCACCCCCAACCCCCGGGAGCCACGATTCCCCTCCGGGACCTGGGTATCATCCCCTCCCAGTTAGATAGATCTCTCCTGCGGGACCTGGGCATCCCCTCCCTGACCCGGAGGAGCCTCGGGACCCGTACCTCGACCCCCGATCCAGACCTCCCTCCAGAGCATGATCCCCCCAGCCAGAACGCTCTCAGCCCCTATCTGGACCTCCCCACAGGCCACTGGAGCTCCCCCAAATCTGACCTCGCCCCCCTATTCCCCAGGACTCTGACCCAGCATCCCGAAGAATCCAACAGACCTTTCCCCTCAAGGCCCCCTACACACACAGCCAGGCTCTCTGCCTCTCCCCAGCAGCCCCTGCCCCAGTGCTGGGTCCCTGTATGTCCCCCTGGCCTCGGCCAGCTGGGGAATCTTGTCCCAGTGGGAGAAAGGGTGAGCTGAGCCAGGTGATAGTCCAGCAGCTCCTTCTCCGGTGCTGCAAAGCCCCTGCTATGTCCAGACCCTCTCCTGGCTCATGGTGTATGGGGGGAGGAGAGCTCAGGACAGTCCCTGACCCAGCCCCTGGTCACTTGCCCCAGTGGTTGGCTGCCCCACGTCCCATGGGTGCAGGAACAACCATTGGCCCACTTGGGTGGAAAATCTAAAGCCCCTATGTGCCTTTTTCCATCTCTGTCCACCTTGGGCACTGTCTGGGATGGAGTGGGATGCAGGGGAGAGTGGGCCAGGCAGGGAGGGTTTTGGGGGGCTGCAGGCTCCTGGACTGAGCCTGCTCCCTGCCCCCACTGTCCCTCCCACCACCCGGCCAGTGGCTGGAGCAGCACGGCAGGGGAGGGAACCGCAACATTTGTGGCAGGGAGGGGGGAAATGGTATTGCTTCACATGCAGAAACTGCTTGCCTCTGCGGGGGAGGGGGGGGGCATTTTTAGGCAGACCATTTTAGCAGTTTCCAGCCCTACCACCCACTCGCTCCCCAGAGGTGCTGAGCTCCCTGCAGCACCCAGATCCTGTGGCAGAGGCCCCAAGGGCAGGCAGTGCCAGTGGTTTACAGCAATGTGGCAGGGAGGGGCCTGACTTAAATCCTTTCTACCCTGGCCTCTTGGAGTCCTCCTCCCCAAGGCACCACACCTTGCTATTGCAGCTCCTGGATGGGGAATTTCTCCAACCGTTTTGCTCTTGGTCAGGACACGTCTCAGGTACTCTCTGCTGCTCTTCAATTAAGGAGATGTCCAGCCCTGCTGGAAAAGATGCACATAAGCCCCTCTAGGATGAATCTCACTCCCTTGAGAAAGAGTAGGAATGAGCAGGTAGGAAGAAGAACCCCAGGGTTCCCAGCTCCCAACATCGTCCTCTTCTTGTGGTAATGGTGTTGTAGCTTCAACCAGAAGAGAGACTCACCTGGGCATGGACCTGGTGGAGTTACAAGGCAGCATGCAGCAGCACCAGCAACATGCTCAAAGCTAATTCTGTGTCCAGAGATCCCTGGCTAATTCCTCTCCATCACAGCCACATGCCTGGCAATGTGGTGAGCGAACATCTCTAGCATTGTTCCTTGAAATTATCATTACAGACTGACGGAAGGAGAGAAGCTGGCAGGCTAAGATGTATTCACAAAAATATCCCCTCTGAAGTCAGCTTAAATAAATCTCCATCATCGTTGGGAGCGCTGCGTGGGAGAGCTCATGTCAGCACGGCTGGTGAGGAGGTGGGCTTTGCTGCTCCTCTCCTGCCGCGTCGCCTTGGCCCCTGACGAGGTGTCACAACTTCAGCTGTGCTCCAGACACCTCCTCGCTCACACCAGGCCAGCCCTCAGCTCAGGCAGGGCTGTTGTGTCCCCCGAGTCCCCAGGCCATGACTCTGTGCAAGGCAGGGTACGACTGTTTGCTCAGCAGCTCCAGCTGGAGATGGTGATGGAGCCTGGGAAGGAGCCTCCCTGCTTTCCCTCTCCAGCACCAGCACAGAGCACAAGGAATAGCCTGCTGTGCCCTGTCCCCACTGCAGCCCTGGAGCCGGGAGGCACCCGGCCCCAACACCATGCCAAGGGATATATGACACTCAGACTGTGGCAGGTGAGGGGAAAAGCCACCGGGATCAGAGCAGAAGGAAGGGACCCCAGGATCAGCATGTGGACTTGGCAATGGAGCGGATGCGGTGCAGGCACAGCTGCTTGCTCTGGCAGCTGGAAGTCCCCAACTGCCAAGGTGTACCTGCAGACCCCTGGTGCTGGCAGGCAGATAACCCACCTCCTCTGCCCCACAGGCTGGTCTCAGGGCGGGAGGAGATTAAAGCTGCTTCCCGAAGCTCACCCCAGCCCATGTCACCCTCTGATTTCCTGGACAAGCTTATGGGACGAACATCAGGGTACGATGCCCGAATTCGACCCAACTTCAAAGGTAAGAGAGGATGTGAGGGTCCCAAACCTGGCAGCAATCCATGCTCATGGCTGCCCAAACCCAGGGAATGGGCTCTGGGTGCAGGACCCTGACCCACATTCCTCTGTCTCAGCACCCTTCCCAAAGTCCCGGCTGCTCCTGCCGCTCTGTGTGTGGCCACTTTGTCTGACAGCACGGGTGGCTCAGTGCTTGCAGGGCATGCTGGGGTTCACCCCGAGACCCTCCGGGGGTGGCCCCAGCAGGCAGGGGGACGCTCGTGTGCCCTGATCCACACAGCACATGCAGGAGCTGTGTCCCTGCGTGTGCCTGCGCAGTGCCCGTGTCTCCGCAGACAGCGGCAAGAGGAGGCTTCACGCTGTTTTCCAGGTCCACCTGTCAACGTGACGTGCAACATCTTCATCAATAGCTTTGGCTCCGTCACCGAGACCACCATGGTGAGGGTTTTGCCAGGGTTTGCACGGGCTCCTCCCCCAGTGCCTCGGGGCTGGCTGTGGCTGTGCCCAGGAGCGTGTGGGTCCCAGCGCCAAAGCCCATGGCCATGCTTACAGTGATCCTTTGACAGGGGCCCTTCCCTAGCACCAAGGTGGGGACATGCAAAGCCATAGCAAATGGCTGTGAATTTTTCTGGGGTCAGTTAACCCAAGCTTGGCTGTGTGGGTCACACTCCCTGTTCCTGAGCTGGGAGAAAGACCCCCAGGAGGTCACAGTGAGGCAGCTGTAGGCAGCTTCCTGCCATCCCCAGCCTCCTTGGGTACACGAGGAACTCCTCTATGGAAGCCCTAGGGCTAAAAATTCACCTTTTGTGCTTCTGCAAAGCCTTAATACCATCAACCATCACATCAACAGGGCCACAGAGTCATATGTAGAGTGCTGCAAGCTGCAGTTACTGGTCTTCCTCCTTTTCCTCCTCCTTCTCCTCTCAGCTGCTGTGGCTTTGGCTTTTTTAATTTCTCCTGGCTGCCAACAGCATGGAAAGGCTCCAGAGCTGCCCCTGCCCCATGCACAATTAGTAGCAGGCAGGAGGCAACTGCAGGGCTGAGCCTCAGTGGGGGGAGCCCCTTCCACCTCCTTCTCCATCCCTTCTTCCTCCCCCTTCCTGGGCACCAGGGGGTGCTCCCAGCTGACGGGGTGCCCTCTGTCCCAGGACTACCGGGTGAACGTGTTCCTGCGGCAGCAGTGGAACGACCCCCGCCTGGCCTACCGCGAGTACCCCGACGACTCCCTCGACCTCGACCCCTCCATGCTCGACTCCATCTGGAAGCCAGACCTGTTCTTTGCCAACGAGAAAGGGGCCAATTTCCATGAGGTCACCACCGACAACAAGCTGCTGCGCATCTTCAAGAATGGCAATGTGCTCTACAGCATCAGGTAGAACCTTCTCCTCTGGTGCGGCAAGGCCTTCCATGGAGCAGCTTTTCCCTACTCACTGCCCCAACCCCCTCCTTTCCTCTGCCTCCTCCAGGCTGACACTGATCCTGTCCTGCCCCATGGACCTCAAGAACTTCCCCATGGACATCCAGACATGCACCATGCAGCTGGAGAGCTGTGAGTACCTAGGGGGGTTCAAGCTGTGCTTCTTCCCCCCGTCTCATCCCATCCCAAAAGCTGGCATCTGCCCTCCTGAGGGAGGTGACCAGGAAAGAACAGTTGTTCAGGGTGGGGTTGAATAGGGTGCATGTCCCTCCCCATCCCATGGCTCCCTACATCCCCTCCAGTTGGCTACACCATGAACGACCTCATCTTTGAGTGGCTGGAGGAACAGGAGGCTGTGCAGGTGGCAGAGGGCTTGACACTCCCACAGTTCATCCTCAGGGATGAGAAGGACCTGGGCTATTGCACCAAGTACTACAACACAGGTGAGCACCCCAGGATCCTGCTGCCACCCCCTCCTCCTGGCCCAGGAGTCCCTCTCACCCATCAGGGCTGTCTTTCCCCACAGGCAAGTTCACCTGCATTGAGGTGAAGTTCCACCTGGAGAGGCAGATGGGTTACTACCTGATCCAGATGTACATCCCCAGCCTGCTCATTGTCATCCTCTCCTGGGTCTCCTTCTGGATCAACATGGATGCGGCGCCAGCCCGAGTGGGCTTGGGCATCACCACGGTGCTCACCATGACCACACAGAGCGCCGGCTCCCGGGCCTCCCTGCCCAAGGTCAGTGCTGCCTCCGTGCTGGGCTCCCCTGCTGCAGCCTGCCCGGGCACCCGGGGTGCCACTGCCACCCCCAGTGCTCCAGGAGCAGGGAGAGCCTTTCAGAGGCTTGGCTGGGACACCACATGTGCTGAGGAGGAACACGGTGCTGCTTGGCTGGGCGAGCTCCGGCCCATGTGTCCAAGCTGAGAGGGCTCCTGTGGCTGTTGGCAGCAGGATGAAATGGGGGGGGGGGAGGGATGACTAGCTAGGCAGGGGCCAGTGGGTGCCTGAGCCCCCTCTCCCCCTGGCAGGTGTCCTACGTGAAGGCCATTGACATCTGGATGGCCGTGTGCCTGCTCTTCGTCTTTGCTGCCCTGTTGGAATACGCAGCCGTCAACTTTGTCTCCCGCCAGCACAAGGAGTTCATGCGCCTGCGCCGCCGCCAGCGCCGCCAGAGGATGGTGAGTCCCCCCACCACCACTCTCACTGACATCTGTCCATCCTCAGCCCCTGAGGGGACACCCCAGGGCTGCAGGGCCACTTTCCAGCAGCCCCCAGCGCAGGGCTCGGCGCTGGGCTGTGTTCATTGCCCATGGCTTGTGGCCGGCTCCTCTGGCACACCAGGGACCCCCTGCCTGCCTGAGCAGCATGGGGCACAGCACCCTTGGATGCCCCAGGCCTTGCTTAGGGTGCTGCCCTTCTCCTGCAGGGACGCCCTCGGGCTCTGCTTCCTCTCAAAAAGTAGAAAAACAAACAGTGAGGATGGGGGGAAAACAGCCCCTTACCTGCAGCCCCAAAGCTGGGCTCCTTGCTGTGCCTCAGTGGTGACAGGGGCTCACTGCTGTGTCAGGGTGCTGAGGCACCAAGGGGACCTGGTGGCACCAAGGGACAGACCTGGGCTGCAGATGTGGAGAGGCAGGGTCCCTCACTCATGGAAATGGTTCTCCCCTCTGTCAGCCCACCAACACAGGCATCAGGCCTGCTTGGGGTGGGCATGTGGCTGCCCCACTCTCATTTCCTTGCCATAAACACACTGCGAGGCACCAGATCTCCACAGAAAACATGAGTACATGTACACACCACACAGGCTGACAGTGCCCTATGCAACCAAATCCCGTGCTGAAGACAGATCCCGGTGCCAGGGCACTGCTGGAGGGGGGGTTTTTCCCCCACACAGACCCCCGTGTCCCCACTGTCCCCCAGAGCCGCTGCCGCGGGGCCGGGGTAGGGCCATGGGTCACCCGCTGTCCTGTTTCTGTTTGGTGCACACTGCTGGATGCCAAAAGGGCCTGAGCAGCGGGACGGCCAGCCTGGAGTCCCTGCGGCAGCTGAGCAGCCGGCACAGCAGCGAGCACACCTACGCGACGCTCTCGCAGCTCTCCAGCTCCCGGGTAAAGCACGACCCCCCTGGCAGCCCCTCCTGCAGCGCAGCTCACCCTCCCCTCCCCAAAACAAGCCCCCCAGGAGCTGGCCCCGGGGGGGCCACAAGGGCCCGTGGAAGAAGCAGACCAGTGATTTGCACAGAGTATGTGCCCGTAGGATGGAGCTGCCGCTCCCTGGGCTCAAAAGAGTTCTGAGAGAGGGATGGGAATGGAGCAGATCTCCCTTGTCGACACCCCCACTCTGTGCCTCAGTTTCTCCTTCTGTAAAACAGTCCCCTTTGCTGAGGACTAAGTGATGCTGAGGCAGACTGATGGCTGCTCCTGGGCTGCTGCCCAGCTTCCCAGGCCATGCCCACTCCTCTGACAGGGTGAGGGCTCTCTCTGCCTGCCCGGCTGCCTCGGTGCAGGCAGGTTTGAGGCAGTCGGGGCTGCCCGCAGTCACTCCAGCAGCTGCTCAGGGCACATGGGCACTTTGCAGCTTGAGGCGTAGGGAGGAGCGTGGGGCAGGACAGGCTCCCAGGATGGTGGGGAGGTGCAGAAGCTCCGGGGAGATCAGGCCTGGTTGTCCTTTCCTCCCCTCCACCTTCATCAACCTCTGGACGCCAGGAGAGGCTTCCTGGCTGTCCCCAGCACGGTCCTGTACTCTCTGCCTTTCACAGCCCCTGAGCACCGACCCCTGGAGATCAACACCTACCTAGCCAGGGAAGGGAGCGGGGGGGTTCTGTAGAACCCAGGGGCATCTGATGGCTTAGGACAGACCTCCCCGAGGTGGAGGTTGCAGAGCCACTCCGGGGTGCTGCTGACATGGCACTGGGTCCAGCCAGGAGCACCTCGGGGTGCTCCTCCGACAGAGACTGGAGCAGAGCCCCACTGCACGCAGCTCCTGTGCCTGACAAAGCAAATCTCTCCCACAGACCACCCAAATCCACGCCCAGGAGCTCCCCGCACCCAGCCTCGGCCCCCAGTAAGCACCCTGGGGCTGCCCCAGCCCAGAGGGACCCTCCAGCAGGGAGGACAAGTCTGCTGTCTCCTGGGGGAGTAGCTGCTGGCCCCCAGGGCACACGGGGCTCCCCCTGCCTGGGCAGCTGTGAGCACTCAGCCTGGGGCAGGGAAATAAAACTCTGCTGCAAATAAGAACTAATCTCAGCAATTTGAGCCGCTGCTGCTGCTCCTACTGAAAAATCTTGCTTAGCCTGTGGATTGCTGAGTTAAATAAGGATGGCAGGGGACAAACTCTCTGCATGAGAGCCCCCGTGCCAGCCGAGCGCCTGCACGGGCTGAGCTCAGCGAGCAGAGCTGCTCTCCGTGTCCTGGAGGGCAGTGCCGGTTGCAGATGGCGTTTGGGATCCAGCACTGAGGCTGCGGGTGGGCACGGCACAGGGAGAGGCACTGGCCCTGGGAGAAGGGACCCTCCACGGCCAGATGCAGCACCGGCAGGGCAAAGGGGAGACGAGCCATGGAGACCAAATGAGTCCAAATGAACCCAGGGACTCAGTAAAACATCAGATGTGCAGCCTGTGCTTGCACATGCCTGTCCCTCACCAAATCTTTGCACACACAACCCTCTCCAAGGATAACAGAGCAGGACAAGGCACGTGGCTAACAGTGCACAGCTGTTGGTGGGGAGGAGTGCAGGCACTGCTGTGAGGGACTGTGAGGCAAGCAAGGCTGTGCCCTGAACAGTGGCAGTGGGCTGTGAATGGAGATTTTCACGGCATTTTTGCAGCCTTGATCATGGGGATTCAGCTCTGCGGGCACATTGCCCTCTCTGCAGCCCCCTGCCAGCATGGCAGGAGACAGGCTGAGCAAGGGCAGAGAGCTCAGCAAGGAGACAAGCTCTCTCTCAGCCTCCCTCCTCTGCTGCACCAGTCAGCCCCCACCAAGCAGACATGGGGAGAAACGAGTGTCTGGGCCCTTGGAAAGACTGGGGGGCCCTGCAAGCCCTGGTGGTAGCCAGGCTCCTGCATCCCTGCCTGGCTCTGCCCCAGCAAGATGCCTGCCCCCTCCTGTTCACCACCACAGGCACACTTCCACCCCGCAGCAAACACAGCTGCCACAGCAGTGCCTGCACCCTTGAGACCCCTGCACCCCAGTGCACCCTGCACCCCCATGTGCCCATCCTCCCCCTCCCACCAGTTCACCCCCATGCCCAAGAGCTGGGCTTCTCAAGCCCCCGAGCTGGAGCTGGGAGGAGGCTGGGGGGATCTGTGTCAGGCTGGCAGGGCCAGGGTTGCCTTTGGATGCACCCCTAAAACGTGCTGGCTGGGAAGGCCATGGGTCAGCACTCACCCCCATCCCTGTGCACACCACTGCTGGTCCCGTGCTCCCGCCTGCGTGGTTCAGGCTCTCTGAAAAAGCACCCAACCTCACTCATCACCCAGCACCACAGGGTGGGTAGGACACACAGACACAAGCAGCTGCTCACCCTGCAGTACCAGCACCCATGGGTGCCCTGGCTGACAGCCTTTCCCTTCGCCAGGAGGAAGAACTTGTCCGCGAGAGCCGCTTCTACCTGCGAGGCTACGGGCTGGGCCACTGCCTGCAGCCCAAGGACGGGGCTGGGGAGGGCCCCAGCATGTACAGCCCCGCTCCAGCCACTCCAGCCACGCTGCTGCGGGAGGGGGAGGCCCTCCACAGACGCTACATCGACCGGGCCAAGCGCATCGACACCATCTCCCGAGCTGTCTTCCCCTTCACCTTCCTGGTCTTCAATATCTTCTACTGGGTCGTTTACAAAGTGCTGCGCTCAGAGGACATCCACCTGGTGCCCTGAGGCCTGGAAAAGTACGACTGCCTGTCTGTCTGACCCTCTGCAGTGTGCCCGGGCAACACAAGCTCAGCCAGAACTGTATTTGCCTCTGTCCCAGAGCAGCAGCTCAGCTGGGCTGGGCCTCAGAGCCTGGACACGTGGCAGCCCATTCCCCACTGGATCCCAGGGCACCAAGCGGGGGGATCAACAACTGCAGGTCCCCACAGTCAGCTGGAGAGAGGGACCCTTCCTACTTCCTGCATGGTGTCACCCCCAGGTACCCAGGGATGCTGATCTGCTGGGGAAGCCCCAGGTACCCAGGGATGCTGTGCTGTCAGGGCACACAGGAACAAATACTACCCAGGAATGCAGTGCTGGATGGCACAGGGGAGCCCCTGGTACTCTGGCATGCTGCACAGACAGTGGCCAAAGAACATCACCTTCCAGAAAAATACTCTCCCCCTCCACACCTACCCAGTTAGGCTGTGGCTTCTCCAGGCTGCATCATGGAGCTGAGGACCATGAGCAGTGAGGGGGGAGGCTGCAGTTCTCTCTCCTCTAGTCTGGAGCTCGGTTGCAGGAAAGGCTGGACTGTATGGGGTGCTGGCTATGGCCCCATAGCCCCCAGCCCAGCAATGGACAGGGCCCCTCCAGCCCCCTTCCAGCTCCAACGCACAGCAAAGCAGTGGATCAGGGATGCTTCCCTCCCTGCACAGCTCACAGGGACCTGAATACCCTCCATGCTTAGCAGGAAATAAAAGCAGTAGGTGATATTTATGTAGGTCCTACAGAGAGAAACGTGTTGATGCTCTCCTTTCCCTCTGCCCACAGTCAGCCTGGGGGGGCTTGCAGCCCATCCCCTCCATGGCATGGGAGCCAGCGAAGGCTCAGAGTCTTCCAGGTAGGGCAGGATGGAAACAGGATTTTCCCCTTTCCCTGAAGGCTGTGGTGCCCCCATGGCCCAGCAGTGACCTACCTGTCATGGCAGAATGGACCCTGCAGGGCAGGGGGATGTGGGCAGGAGGCCAGCACTGCCTTCTGAAGCCAGATCCAGGAAGAAACCCCTGCTATGACCCCTGGCCTGGCTCCTCAGGCAGGAATCACCCTTTCCCTCACAGGACTGGCAGCATCGCCCTGCCCCACCCGACCCCCTGAACCCCATAGAGTCCTCAGCCACGTGCACCCATTTCACAGATTGGGCAAGCAGAGAACTGGCCCCAGGCCACGCCACGAGAGGACTGAGGGACCCACGAGGACAGGCTGGGTCAGCTCCATCCCATCACCACCTCTGTGCATGCCTCCCCCACCGTGGGGTTCCCTGTGGGGCCCCACCCCGAGTCCAGGCCGGACTCACTTGGGGAGGCCCTGTTTGGAGGCAGAGGAAGGGGTGTCCCTCGGCTCCCCAGCACCCAAGGCAGTGCCAAATGGGGAGGTACCAGAGTCTGAGCAGCACCCACAGGCACTGGGCAGCCACGCCAACCTCCAGCAGTGGTGGGTTTTTAAACAGCATCGATCTTCCTACGCAAATAAAGCTTTCTGGGGTTTTCAATGGTGTGCTGGTGATTTGTCTCTGCCAAGAACCCTGCAGCCAGCTCCTGCTCCCAACGGGGCCCCAGTGTGTTGGGGGAATAAGGGCAAAACCACCCTGTGGGGACAGGAGCCCTGACCTGCCATTAGTCACAGATGTCATTACCTCCACGGGTGATTTTTCTGACATCATGTTTATCTCCCCCATGGGAAACGCCAGCAGGGATGGGCAGGAGCCCCCCACAAGCTCCCAGCCCCAAGCCCTATCACTCTCCCTCCCCACCCAGCTCTGCGGGGTGCTCCCCACAGTCACCCCAACCCCTTTCCACCCCATCCAGGCTTGGCCAGGAGACAGGACCCGGGATGAGGCAGAGGTGGGGACAGGGGGGCTCTGGCTCTGCGGTGGAGCTCAGACACCCAAGCATGTGCAGCCTCCCAATGGATAAACCTCCCTACCCGCCCCCTCGGCCCCTCCGGGCTGCTCGCTGGGCAGGTGCCAGCCTTACAGAGCTGCCAGCTGTGCTGGGGGGCTTACGCCAGCCCTGCAGTGCCACCCGGGGCCAGGGCTTTTGTCCCCAGCTGGTGCATGGGCGGGCAGAGCCCACAGCTGAGGGCTGAGCGCCCAAGCAAACATCAATCTCCCTCTGTCCTCCCAGCCAAGTTTCACAGACCAGCTCTGTTGGTACCTCGCAGCCCCATCGCCCGCCCAGCCCCACCGAGGCCGTCAGAGGCAGGGAGGAGAGAAAGCAAACTGCACCCGCGCTGGTTGGGTCCGGGGGCTGTTCTTTAGAGGGGACAAACGAAACTTCCCCGGGGTCTTGATCTCGTCCCCACCCCAAACCTAGAGGGGACACAGCTAAGGGGAGAGCCATAAGATACTTCACAGCAGTACAGTGCACTCAGATCCTTCACTCCCTGCTCTCCTTCTCCTCTCTTGCTGGATGTCAGTGCCTGTTTGGAGATAAATTCTGCTGCTTTGTAAGCCCCAAGCCACCCAGCTCCTGAAAAGAGTGCATCCCAGAAAAAATGGAAAATGATGTAAAAAATCAACACATCCAGTCTAAGCCCAAGTCCCCAGGTCCCATGCACTGGTCACTGCAAGGTGTGGGGGCTCATTACTGGCACACTAAAGGCATGAGGGGAGCACTGCTCTGTGGCCCCACAGATCCTTGTGATTTGGGTGTCCCCAGGGAAGTTTCAGGGTCAGGAGCAGCACTTGGTCCCTGCCCAGTTTGGACTGGGAGCTGCTGGGACACCCACACAGCTGCAGGGCTGTCCCTGCCCTCCAGCACTCAGCTCCTCACATCCCGGGGACAGCAGCAGCACCCGGGCTGGGGTGCTGAGCCCCATGTGCTCCCACAGGTCACAGCGTGGCCAGGGGCCAGCCCAGGTTGCTCCATCCCCCAGCAAAGCCCACAGCCTTTGGACAGAGTCAGTTTTCCATTCTCCACCAAGGCTGTGCACTGGGGGGTGCATCCCAGCCACCACAGGAGGCAGCTCTGGGCACAGGACCAACAGCCAGGGCCGAGTTAATTACTGGTTTAAAAGGAAGTTAATGAAGTTAACACCAGGTTAATGGGGCTCCCATTAACAGCAAAATGAGCATCATCAGCACTGGCAGCTTCCCGACAGCCTGCCAACAGCATGCCCAGGGCCAGGAGCACACACGGGTTTGGGGCAGCCCTTGCCAGCCCCAAGGGCTCTTTGGAGGCCCTCTGTGGGTCCAAGGAAAAGTGCCTTTGGCTGGGCACTGCAGTGGCATGCCAGCCAGGCCCCTGCTCTGCCAACCACAGAGGGCCTGATCCTGCTGGAACTGAGCTCTGCTGCTCTCCATGGGCAACATCAGGGTGCCCAATCTTCCCTTGTTCCCCCTCTCCTTCACTCATCCACAGCCTGGAGCTCCCTTGGGGCAACACCAGCTTCCAGAGGTTTAGCCAACCATCCTGTCTGGATGCAGCAATGCCTGCAGGACAACATGTCCCACAGTGATCAGGACTCTGGGTTTGGAGCCAGGGGAGTGCAATGCATAAGGAACAGGCGACAGCTCTGCTGGGGCTCTGAGCAACCCCTGCACATTGCCTGGGCACAGAATTGTTTTTTTAAAGAAAATACCAAGCTCCAAAGTCAGCCAGGCAGTTCTGAGCAGGCCAGGGCTGCCCCTTACAAGCAGGGAAATGGACACAAGAGGAAAGCACCAGGAGCTGCCGCTGGGATGGGCTGTGCCAGGGGCACAGGGCCCTTGCAGGACCACAGACCCACAGGGACAGGAACCCTCCATCACAGGGAAGGTCCAGGCGCAGGGTGCTCTGGCAGTGTGGCTGTGCCAGCACCCCAGCCCTCAGCACAGCGCTGCCAGTGATGCCCCCACAACAGAGGAGTTCCAGTGCACCCCTCTGCCACCTAAGCTGCGGCAATACCACTGCCTGTCACCCCCCCAGGGCCCTGCCAAACCCCACACCACCACGGCCACATCCACCCCACCCCCAGCACAGCTCTGGGACCAGCCTGCACTGCTCTGGGCACACCAGCCAGCCCACAGGGCACCCTATAGCTCCCCAGCCCAAGGGGTGCAGTGTGCCAGGTGCTCCTGGGGACAACAGGACAAGCAACAGGAAGCAACAGCGAGGGAGGGCTGGAACCTGGAGGTAAGCAGGGATCAGCCCTGCAGCTCTCCTGAGCCCTGGGAATACAGGATAGCAGCCCAGCTCCAGACTGCCGTTTTGCACAAGAGAAAACAAAGCCATGAGGTTTTCCAGCCCCGAGAGTGTCTTGTTTTGTCCGACTTTGAGAAATCTCTGCGCTTCGGCTCCCCAAGGGGCAGGGGGAGGACCAAGCACTGGAACAAGGAGTGATTATCAACCCACAGGCTCTGAAGGGCTTTTGTTCCCTGGATGTGCCAGAGCAGGGATCGGAGGACACCTAGCGAGATGTCTGGATGGCCCCAGCACCAGAGGCACCCGCAGCCCAGGGCCATGACCCACAGCCCTGCAGTGCTCCCATCCTGCTCTCCTCCTCCTGCTGTGCTGGGGGCCACCACGAGAGCTCCAGGGGGCTGCAGGGGCTGGTCCAGCCTTGGGGAGAAGCACAGGGGAGAAAAACTGGTGTTATGAGGGTGGTAGTGACAGAGGGGAAGAGCACAGGGGATAAGGTGTTCGAAGAAGGAAGGCTCTGTCAGGAGCTGCTCACAGAGGTTTTGAGGCAGGGCTGAAAGACCAGAGCCAAAACCAAGTCCTGGGCCCGTGGGGTACAACCCCCCTTCCCCAGGACCCTGTGCTGACACACAGAGCACACACAGACCCACCACCCTGTGCTTGGACAGCCCCCAGTGCCCTCAGACCCTGGGGCAGCTCTAGCACTGCTGAGCCCAGGCACAGAGACACACAGCTGCAGGACCAGGCCTGGCAGCAGGGATGAGGCACACACAGAATCACAGAACCATTTAGGTTGGAAAAGACCTCTGAGACCATCGAGTCCAAACGGCGACTGAACACCACCGTGTCAACCAGTCCGTGGCACCAAGTGCCACATCCAGTCTTCCCTTAAACACCTCCAGGAACGGTGACTCCACCACCTCCCTGGGCAGCCCATTCCAATGTCTAATCACCCTTTCTGTGATTAAATTCTTCCTAATCTCCAACCTAAACCTCCACTAGTGCAGTTTAAGACTATGTCCAGTTGTCCCTTGTTCCCTGGGAGCAGAGCCTGACCCCACCCAGCTCCCCCCTCCTGTCAGGGAGTTGCTGAGAGCCAGGGTGTTCCCCCTGAGCCTCCTTTTCTCCAGGCTGAGCCCCCCCAGCTCCCTCAGCCGCTACTGGTGCTCCAACCCTTCTCCAGCTCCATCGCCCTTCTCTGGACTTGCTCCAGCCCCTCAATGTCCTTCGTGAATTGAACTGGACACAGGATTTGAGGTGTGGCCTCACCAGTGCCCAGCAGAGGGGGACAATCACTGTCTTGCTCCTGCTGGCCACACTATTGCTGGTACAGGCCAGGTGCCACTGGCCTCCTTGCCCACCAGGCAGGCACACAGGGCCTCCCACCCTGGGGGCACAACATCCCCCTGAGTGCCACAGTGACCCAGCCAAGCAGAAAAGAGACCTGGGAGTTTGGATTGACAGGAAGCTGAACATGAGCCAGCAGCATGAGCCAAGAAGGCCAATGGCATCCTGGCCTGGATCAGGAACAGTGTGGCAGCAGGTCCAATGAAGTGATTCTTCCCCTGGACTCAGCGCTGGTGAGGCCACACCTTGAGTACTGTGTCCAGTTCTGGGCCCCTCAGTTCAGGAAGGACATTGAGGGGCTGGAGCAGGTCCAGAGAAGAGCAACAAGGTTGGTGAAGGGACTTGAGCACAGTTCCTATGAGGAGAGGCTGAGGGAGCTGGGGGGGCTCAGCCTGGAGAAGAGGAGGCTCAGGGGAGACCTCATCACTCTCTGCAACTACCTGATAGGAGGGGGGAGCCAGGTGGGGGTTGGGCTCTTCTGCCAGGCAACCAGCAGCAGGACAAGAGGGCACGGCCTTAAACTCTGAGAGGTTTAGGTTGGATAACAGGAAGAAATTTTTTACAGAGAGAATGATCAGACACTGGAATGGGCTGCCCAGGGAGGTGGTGGATTCTCCATCCCTGGAGGTTTTTAAGATGAGACTGGATGTGGCACATAGTGCCACGGCCTGGGAACCACGGCGGGGTTGGACTTGGCGATCTCGGAGGTCTTTTCCAGCCCGGCTGATCCAACGATCCCACGATCCCGCGACGCGGCCCCCGCCACGTGCCTCGCGCGCCCCTCACGTGACGCGGCACTCACGTGACCCTCCCGCGGGAGGGCGGGCCCCCCGGCAGCGCCGCGTCCGGCGATTGGCTGCGAGGACAGGGCCAGCTCGCCGGCGATTGGCCGCCCGTGGCTGTCCGTCAACACGCCGGCGGCACGATGGCGCCGCGCTGGGTCGCGGGGGTGATGGCGGCCGCGGTGATGGCGGTGGCGGCGGTGATAGCGCTGGACAACGGGCTGGCCCG